TACCACAAAAACAACAACATAGTTTTCATTTGTTTCCTCAAAGTGTAGGCCACAACCGATATTGGATTTCCATGGTAGTGACGATAGCCATATGAGTGAGACATGAAAAATATATTCCTGTCTCCTGAACAACCTGTCCAACGGCGCCGATCATTCTTACATTTTTGTTCTTTTTCAGGTGGCTTAAATCATGGCGAGTCCGACGGCAAAGTAGACTTACACAACGCCAACGTCCGGAAGAGGAGAGATGTGTCGTCTTCGACCGTAGCACCCACATCAACCGGAAAGCCAGGGCCTTCTACGACTGGAGGACCCTCGAAGTCGACCGCAAAGCCGAGCGGCGCCCCCATTTCTGCGTCGTTAAGCCTTGCAGTGTTCTTAACCGCGCTGATCAGTCGCATATTCGTTTGAAGTGCCAGTGAGAGCACGTGAGACTGTGTAAATTATTGCCCTTTGGTGATGTTAAGATTTAAAAACATGTGTCTAAACTAGTTCAGTGCAATGCATTTTCAGCTGATTTAGTTTACATACTTCGTTATTGCTTTTTACACTCCTGTTTTTAATAAAATCATAAAATATTTAAGTTTGTTACTTCTCTTTAGACTTGCTTGAAGCAACGTGTTTTACCCACTGTTTGAACCTGAAACTTAGCTCTGTCGTATTGTAGAGTACAGTAAATACATTCTAGTTTGAACTCAGCCAGCTAACTCACAAAGAAACTATATATCAAAAAGAACATTTAGGTATACTTTGGCGCGCCCAATTTACGCACACGAAAACACAATGCATGCAGTTGCGGCACCAGTTGCCTTGAAACAACATCTAGCCGTAGCAGAGGCTAGGGAACCCCAAGCGGCCGGCGAGGTTAGGCAACCTGACCTGCACTCGTGCCGGATACTGTGCCTACTAGTCAGGCTGCCTACAAGCGCGAGATCAGAGGCGCTAGAGACCCGCAACGAGTGAGCTACGCGAGCAAGGCGCTAGAGCCGCGCGCTGCGAGCTATTTTGCTCGTGGTCCGCGCGATTTCCTTGCTCGGCTTTGCTCGGCTCGCGCATGCGACTACCAGCTATTTAGCTCGTGGCTTGTGTGCGCGGTGGCGCTGCAGGCGCAGGTGACGGCGAGCAGGGGAAACCTGCAATGCTGTAGCAATGGGCCGGGCCTGCGAGCAAATTTGCTCGCACGAGCAGCGCGAGCAGCGCCAGGGGGGCCTCCGAAAAGCTAGGCTGTCTCCGCCATGGAGGCGCGCGGCCCTACGAGCAAAATAGCTCGCAGCGCGCGGCTCCAGCGCGTTGCTCGCGTTGCTCACTCGTTGCGGGTCTCTAGAGGCGCGGCGCCAAGACAAATGAATCACCTGACGTTTTGACTAAAGAGCTGTGCACTTGACTGTTATCGGCATAGCTTCCTATCAGAAAAGCCTCAAATAGTGCGGCGCGTAAGACTTCCCGTCACTCCCATACGATGAAGCTCATTCTGATAGGTTGCGGCCTCCTGGCTCTTGCGCGGTCGCTCGAAGCTTCCCCGGTAGCTGCAGTTGCTGAGCGCATTGACGACGATTTGACCGCTGATGGTAAAGTAGTAAAATGTATAAGCCTATGAATGTTGTATTTTATTTCGGGAGTGTTTTTTTTTGGGGGGGGGAAATTGCGGGGGAAGTGTAATTTTGATATAACCTAACCTAACATGGCATAATGTTGACACAAGAATATTCCGGCTGGTACTGACTACTGAAACATTCTTGTTTGGATAAATACTACCACTAACATACCGACACATAGTTTATTCTAGTGCAAAGAATTTGAATACAACTTAGACAAGGTTCAAAAATCAGCAAACTATGGGAGAGCCATATTCATATTGGGTGGGCGCTGTGGACCTGTCCCTGTGTTAGTCATCAAGGCCTGGCGTCGGTTGAGCACTAAGAAGCTGTAGAAGGGTCTTGTCCACAGAGAATTTCGGGAAATTGTACTTATCTGTATACGATTTACTTTTGGTTGATTTTCAACAATTTTGTAACAATATTTGAGGTTAAAATAATTATCCCAAGTTCCTCGAGCACTGGAAATGCAAGTGTGTGAATGTTGCACACGTGCAGATGTGTGAATGCCCATTTGTACACCTAAGGGAGCCAAGGAGTAAATTTCTCTTTGAAAATTCACACACGTGTGCCTTTATGAGTACGAATGCCGTTCACACTCCTAAGTGTGCGACACTCACGCACACTTTGTGTTGCCAGTGAGTGTAGTTTCGACAAGAGCAGAAACAATCTTGAGTCGTAAAACCCTTACTGTCTTAATGTCACTTGCGAGCAAGAGAAGCTAAGCAGGATGAACCAACGTTTCATAAACGTTGTGTGGGTACAATGGTAGAACTTGACATGTACGTATGCGCCACAAATGCTTTTCATCCCCCAGTTCCAGATGGTCTCGTCAGGCTAATGACGAGTCGGTCAACCACCCTACCATTCTAAAGGAAGTAGGCGAGTCCAGCAACGTTGTGCCCTACCTGGACCGTGCAGGCCAGGCTTCCCTGTCTTTGGGGAGTGCCAGAAGAACAACACGGAGGCGTCGCACGACGAGGAGGCGCCCAACAACAAGTAGGCGATTGACGTCGAGGCGGCCGACGATTGGGTGGTCGTCGACCACTAAGGGCCCTACTCGGGGGCCATCGCCCACGTCGAACCGGCCGACGTGGTGGCCGCCGGCCGCACCCACGAGGAGCCCGTGGAGACCATCGCCTTCGTGGGGGTCGACGACAAGACGGTCGCAGCGCAATGGCGCATCCCAGTGCGCGCCAGGCCTCGTCGCCGTGCTCCTGGCCGCGGTCGTAGGTGCCAGACACTGGTCTTAGTGAAGAGGGCGCTTCACTCTGCTCGGGCTAAAGTAGGGGGTAAACGGGAAGCACAACGCAAACCACGAAACCGGCAGTTGGAATGCGAATCGTCACTGTGATCGTATTAGCTGCTGGTGCCGTTGTTGTGCTTTTTAGTTTACCTCGTTTTTCAGGCGATGCAGTGAAATGCGCTATTATCGTAAATAATGTATGCCTGGTTTGAAACGCGAAAACAATATATCAAAAGCCCGTAATTTTATTTTAAAAACATTTTACAAGGTTATTTGTGAAACATTCTGAATTTTACTATGCTAATTCTCGTTTTATTGAGATTGGAAAGTGATTCTATGTACCAGAAACATCTGATGCATAACGAAAAAGCATCGCTGCATTGTCGTAATACGATGTCGCGCTTTTCGACAACCATTTGAATCTCCCCCTTTTCCAGGAAGACTCCAAGGGATGGAAAACTTCTCTCACACAGCCTAAACGCTAACAGTTTTTTCCTGAAATTAATACTGCGTTGCGGACGAACAGTAACGGTCCGAAGGCGATCGACAGGTCAGTCAGAACGCGAGCAGGTCGGTAGCGCCGAGGAGGTAGGTCGCCTCCCCCGGCCCCGCGTCTACATCCGTGGGTCGTGGATGCTCTCGAACACCGTCGGGAAGTCCGTGTCCACCGCCACGGCCAGGTTGTCCTTGGCGGAGCTGCCACCCGCCCCACCGTTGCTGGAGGAGGAGGGCAGGGTGGTGGGGCGGTACACGTCGGCGCGGGCCTGGGCGGCCACGGCGGCGGGGGCCTCGTCCTGGGACTCCTCGTCGATCAGGTCTGTCGGGCAAAAGCAAAGGGGGGCGTGACCACGCGCTGGACCTGTGTTCTCGTCGCCGTCCGTGGGCTCGCCCCCGTGATCGTCCTCGTCCGTGCCCGTCCCCATTCGCGTCCTGGTGCCCACGCACGTCCTCGTCCTCCTAGTCGTCCTTGTCCCCGTGCTCGTCCTCGTCCCCGCTCACGGCCTCCTCCCTGTGCACGCACGTCCTTGTCTTCGTGCACGTCCTCGTCCTCGTCCCCGTACTCATCCTCGTCCCCTGCACGCCCTCGTCCTCGTGCACGCCCTCGTCCAAGTGCGCGTCCTCGTCCTCATCCCCGCCCCCTCCCGCGGCCTCGTCCTCGCTCTCATCCTCCCTGCTCACCTCTGAACCTCAGGGGGCGTGTCCGGCGCATGCGCAGGAAGAACAGGAGCAGGAGCAGCGCCACCAGGATGACGGACAGCGCCGCCACGGCCCGGAACGTGTTGGTCTGCAAGCCGAAGAGAGAACGTCGTCAGCCAGTGTCCAAGTGTCCGCAGACAATGACGAAACGATATCGTAAAAAAAGTCAGAGTTTGCCTTTTTGGCATCATTTCGATATCTTATGACTCTGATATCGCCTTGCTCACTGGACGCGCAGCTCACCTCCGTGTCGTCCTCGTACACCTCCTCCCAGTCCTTTCTCACAATCAGCTCTACGTTCTCGATCTTGATGTTGGCCGGGTCGGCCGACACGGCCCGCGAGACGCACTTGTAGAAGCCGGCCTCAGACGTAGACACGCCCTGCACATAGAGCTCTTTAGCACCTTTGCAACCCTACTTTTGCAAGTGGAATTTGAGTCAACATTTTTGTTGGCACGGCCAGCAGTGGACACGTGTCCCGTGCTCACCTTGATGAAGAGCTTGCCCGTGAGCACCTCGTACTTGTACTTGTAGTCGTTGTACTCGTTGCCCGGGCCGATCACCTTGTCGTTGTGCGTCTGCCAGTACGAGAAGCGGTGGTGGTCGTCGTTGGAGGGGCACTCTAGCTCGGCCATGGCGCCGGCCGGCACCTCCTTCACCATCACGTCAGCCAGGGCCGAGCCCAGGGCCGAGCCCAGCAGGCACAGGGCGGGCAGCATGGCGGACCAGCAGTCACTCAAATTGTGGGGAAACTGGAAATAGAGGAAAACAGAGAAAGAGATGTGTGGTGCGTGGCAGCTTGCACACGAACGCCTACGAGTGACGCCGCTGCGAGAGGCCCTTCATCTGTAAATTGAAATCGCATTGAAGCTGTCTCCAACGCGATTGAGACGTCCGATGACAGGAGTCCAGTGATTTAGAGTCGCTTTTATTTGTCTGATGAGCGTGCACCACGTCGTGGACCCCCCCCCCCCCTCTTCCTCTCCTCTGGCTCCAACTACACGAACAAGAGATTTTTAAAGCAACGCCTTACTAATAAAATGTAGTTTCCCTGAAATTGAAATCGCGGGAAGGAAATGTTTCTGCCGAAAGTGGGCTGGAGCCGGGCTAGCAGGAGAGGAAGGCGGTAGGAGGAAGTGTGACTAACAGTTTATCGGCTTTCATATCCTGCCCGGCGCACACACTGAGCCTTGGATCCGTATTCGTAATCAACGACTTCCCCTTGGCCACACGTGCGAGTCGGTGACACCGTGTCACACGCTGTCACGCCGTGTCAGTGTCATACATTGTCACGTCGTGTCACATACTGTCACGCCGACTCAGTTGCACACTTTCACACCACGTCACACACGACCACGACGTGCTACTTCGCATCACTTAGGTATGCCAGCGTTCCATAGAGATCGTCCAGAAAGTACGTCCGTTTTCCTCAGATTCATTCAGCAAATTACTGTAGCTCGGCGCCTGCGAGACTCGGGGTAGGCCGACCCGCAATACACGCATGCACAACAGGTCAGATGTTGCCTACCCACCGGGCGGTATGTGCGTCAGCATAAGCTCGACTTGACAGGTGAATGACGAACGTGCTTTCTGGACGATTTCTTCACTACTTTCGTACAGCTCGCCCTTGCGACATCAGACTGGCAAACATGCACAAGTTTTTGAACTTTACAGGAGAAAAAGGCGAGAAAGCGAGCTGCACAAAAGCATGGTGGTGCTGATTCTGCACAAGCGAGGGCTCAAGTGACTCCCTTCCCGTTTTGATAAAGGCTGGTCGCAGCGCAATGGCGCATCCCAGTGCGCGCCAGGCCTCGTCGCCGCGCTCCTGGCCGCGGTCGTAGGTGTCAGACACTGGTCTTAGTGAAGAGGGCGCTTCACTCTGCTCGGGCTAAAGTAGGGGGTAAACGGGAAGCAGAACGCAAACCACGAAACCGGCAGTTGGAATGCGAATCGTCACTGTGATCGTATTAGCTGCTGGTGCCGTTGTTTCGGGACCGACCCGGAGGACTAGACCATGTCCGAGTCACGCAGAGATCGAAAATCCGACGGACGCCCCGAGATCACATCCGATATCAAGTCGTCGAACGTTTCGGTCACGCCGAGCAGGACGCGTGGACCAGCGGGTTGTCTCTTTTGCAAGCGCGCCTCTCCGACTGAAATAAAACTTGTCCCCTTGCCAGTGAGAGAGGGAGGAGGGGGGAGGTGCGGGGCGGGGCGGAGCGGGGTAGGGGAGGGGGTAGAGGATAGGACGAAGACGGAGTAGTGTCCCATCGAGGGGGAGGGGGCGAGAGAATGGAAAGGGGCTGTTTTGGAGGCGTCAGTGATGAGCGGTGCTGAAAAATGTACGGGTACTGCAATCATCGGCATAAGCTCTGAAAGCGTAAAACTAGAGTTGGGTGAGGTGTCTTGTGTCTTGTTCTTGTGGACAATTTCGAGAAGACAAGCACATTAGAAAAGAAAACGAAACCTGATTAATTGGAATAAAAAAGGTAATAGGAAAAGAATCAGTAGTCACACTTTCTTATTGCCATCTTTTTGTCGTTTCGTTGTTTCCAATTTTAATTGTCCGGAAGATGAGGCTGTACTGTTGAGGCATTTAAATACTATGAACAGAAAGTGAGTAGTCATTTTAGTTTAAGCTAAAAGACAACGATCCCAGATCGAAGTTACCCCTGCCGAATCCGTCCGAGACCGCCCATTCTAGAGACGCGCTCAATGGGTTGCCTACGCATCGGGCGCCCGGCAGTCTCTTGCAAGTCCGTGGCACACAAGGTGATCTGGGCGATACTCCACGCCTCTACGTCCCTGTTTGTAGCTACGCTACACAGTTGTAGCTACAACAGACACGGCCCCAGGCAGCTTTATCAGAACCGACTGTAGAAATAAGTCCTCTCGGCGTCTTAAAAGCTCAAGCCCCTTTCCCACCACCTAGACAAAAATTTAAAAAAAAAATAAAGGAAAGGGGAGTACTTTCCTCTTTCCTTTTTCTTGGTTCATACAACATATACCTATTTGTGCGTTTTGAAGTGCTGGGTACAACATATCAAAAGATGGCAAAACTTGTTTGGGTTCCTATCCCTCTCCCCAACTCCCTCCCCCAACCCCACCACCCGCCGCGCCGCGCGCCCCGCGCCTTCATTCGTGGAAACGTAAACAAACGTTGCAAATTGGCGTCTTCTACTCAATACCGATAATACCTAGCCAATTTTATCATAGGATTTTAATCAGAATTTTGGGGTGGACGGCGACGATTTTTTCAAAAAAAACCCAAAGGAAAAAGTGCTTGATGGTTTCCGGTCCGGACCATTGAATTGTTCTGCTCCGGTTTGTAAAGGAGGTTAGTGTGCTAGTGCAAGTTGTAGGTTATTTTTGGTGGCAGAGTAAATGATGATAGGTAAACTTGGCTCACTGTAAGCTTTATTGAATAGGTGTTGAATGGGTACACTCCTCCACTCCATGCAGTTTTTTTAAATACTGTTGTAGTTAATTTGCAAAACTGTCTAGGTTTTATCACAAATCATATATTTTGCGCTGTATTATTTTTGTGGAACAGCAAAATGTATTACTTCTAGTGGTTTTAGCTCTATTTGTGTAACCTGCTCAACAATCATGATTATCACATTGCAATGTACGTTGCAGCTAATGTGCAGCTGCCCTATCCACTACTGTTGTAATAATTGTTCGAAAGGTATATGGGAGGTGTTCACAGCCTATAGTATATGCAGATTAATTGGAAAACCATGGTCATTTATGGGGGGAGAGAAGCGGATTTAAAAGTGTGTTGTATGAGTTAATTATATGTGATTAATAGTTGATGATAGTAGAGTAATAAATGAAAGCAAGTGTTAGAAAAGTAGCACTAAAAGTATCCTTTAATCTGATTGCAGGGACACGGTTTGGAAATGTTCTTGACATCAGCAAAGAAGTCTATGGAGTCATTTATTTACCTGCGAGAATAGGTGAGTTGGCCTGACAAGTAACCAATGCTGGTCCAATTTGTCTCTGTACAGACTCTATGAGAAGCGTCCTATGGTGTGCATCAAAGGCCAGTTTCTGATAGTTTTTATGGTGCCTTGGTTTTTCCCTGGCGATTTCAATTCTTCCCCGTCAATATCCAGGCTTGATGTTTGTTAACATTAAAAATGACAATTTGGAAAATAGCTGGAATTGGTTTGGGTTGGTCGGGCAGACTCCACTTTCACTTGCTCTGTCTAAATAACATAGTGCCGACCCACTACAGCAGAGTTTTTAGATATAGCGCTTTAGGCGGCAGGCAACCCGCATTTAGTTTCTAGAGACCACCTCTTAAGACTAAAGTTTCTGTGGACAGGGGTGGTTTCTGACCCACCCAAAGGTAGTTATTTTATGGTCCCCTCGTTCACCCCTGTCGATTCCGATCCTTCTCTGTCGAAATCCGGGACCCATCAATTTTCGCTAAAAACACAAACTGTAAATTTTGCCATAAATGAAAAATTTGAAAATCGATGGAAATGGTTGGGATTGGCCCGACAGCATCCTCTTTCAATCTCTCCGTCGAAATTTCGCCGCTGGGCCATTTCAAGTGAGTTACGCCTGTTTTTCTTGGACCGGTTTGCCTGCGAGGTAGGCAGCCCATCGTACGCTGACCGCCAGATTCAAAAGACCACCCTTAAAACTCAATTTTCTCTGGAAAGGGGAGGTTTCTAGCTGAACCAAATGTCGTTTTGTGGTCCCCTGGGCCACCTCTGTCGATGTGACTACTTTTCCGTCGAAATCCGGACCCATCAATTTTCGCTAAAACACAAAGGCTATAGCCTTTGTAAATTTGGCCAAAAATGAAAAAAATGAAAATCGCTGGAAATAGTTGGGATTGGTCAGACTGAATCCTTTTTCAATCTCTGTTTCGAAGTTTCACGCCGCCGGGCCATTTTAAGTGAGATACGCCTGTTTTTGGACCGGTTCGCCTGCGAGGTAGGCAGCCCATCGTACGCTGACCGCCAGATTCAAAAGACCACCCTTAAAACTCAAGTTTCT